CACAGAGTTTCCTAGAAAACAAATAACTCTTCATCAGGAAATGTTCATTAATTTTCTCTTCCTCTCCTAAGTCCTCTAAGGTTAACATAAAGTGGTGGTCCGCTACGACTTTCTCACAACCCTTTTTATCTTTAATTTCTATATAGAACTTTTGTAAGATTAATACCGACCTAATTAGTTTTGTTTAGACTAGTTTTTCGAGAGAATATGGCGAAGAGTAGCATGATCGATATATATTATAGTTTGGGAACCTATGAGATAATGTATAAACTTTTCTAGGGCAAAGACAAGCACTAACATCTTTTTTTTAGTAGTTGTACGTATAGTTTCATTGAGATTCGTTTCACGATTTGCTAGCGTAATAAATTACACTAGGGTTATTGTCTTTTCTGTCCTAAAACGGCACCAACGGCATAGTCCAGGCATCACAAATTAACTCAAACGGTAGAGACTTATCTGGACGTTGGATTAACGGAGCGAAGGTCAATGCTATTTTTAATTGGTCGAAAGTCGACACACATTCATTGTTAAATTCAAATGGTGTATCTTAAGTTAGAAGGTGTGTAAGCGGACAGTCAATTTTTGAGAAATCTTTAATGAACCTACGGTAGAAATCATCATGACCTAAAAAAGCTCTAATTTGTCTATTGTGTCTAGGAATTAGAAGATAGAAAATTATAAAGAGTTTAGCTTCATCTACTTCTATCCTTTATGATTTATAACGTGACCTAGTACTAATCCTTTGGTGACCATGAAATGGCACTTTTTTCAATTGAACACTAAGTTCTTTTCTTCACATCTAATGAAAACTTTCTCGAAGTTGGCTACAGATTGGTCGAATGACTCTCCATAGATGGAGAAGTCATCCATAAATACTTCCATAAATCTCTCGACCATGTCACTAAATACGTGTAAGATGCACTTCTGAAATGTAGCAGGTGCATTACAAAGTCGAAAGGGCATTCTCTTATAGACAAGGGTTCCGAAAGGGCATGTAAAGTTGTTTTCTTTTGGTCTTTGGAAGGGATAGGAATTTTTTTCATAGCCTCAATAACCATCTAAGAAACAATAATAGGAACGACATGAATGGCGTTCACCCATTTACTTTCAGAAATTGGGTATATGATACCAACATCGAGAAGTTTTAGAATTTTACTTCTTACTGCTTCTTTCATGTTAGGATTTAGACGTCGCTGATGTTCTCTAGAGATTTTAACATTATCATTTTAATTAGGTATATATGAGAACAAACCTCAGGGTCTATACCCTCAATATCATCTAGTGACCACCCGATTGCAGAGCAGTGTTTTTGAATAACAAAGATTAACAATTCCTCTTGCTTGGGAGTTAAGGCCTATGAAATTATGATAGAGTGGTCGCATCATCGTCTAAGTGAACATATTATAATTCGAAAGATAAGCTTTTATTTCTAGACCTGGCGGTTTTGGAATTAGGTTTCACTAGGGTTTGTTTTTTCTTTACAAACGGGGAGAGTAATAAGAGATGAATCATTTTTGGAAGAGTAGTTGTTATCTAGAGTATATTTATCGTTATTAATGGATTGGGAATACGTTAAGTAAACCTTTGTTTCACTAGGTTTTTTCATCATTTTATAGATGCTTATTTCTATCTTTAAGTTTTCAAAGGTTAATAACATAGACTTGCTTCTACAGTTTATTAAAAAGTTCACGATAGCTAAGAAAGGTCTACCTAAGATGATAGGTGTAGAAGCATCACTTGAGTGTTCTGTATAAAAGTTAATGAAGGTAACAGGTTAATAAAAGTCAACCAGCCACCTTGACCCAGATATCCTCCATGACTCCTCATGGGATTTTGACAGACCGATCAACTAACTAAAGAGTCATCCTAGTCCGTTTTAGTTATTTTAAACCAAGCTTTTGGTATAGGTAGTATGAAAGTAAATTAACGCTCGCTCCTATGTCTAAAAGTGTGGTATATTGAAATCCATTATTTAATGTACAAGTTATCGTAGGTTTACCAGGATCTTTGTATTTTAAAACTCGATTATGCTCAACCAAGGAAGGGACTTGCTCAGTTAAAAACGCATCTTTAGGAATATTAGTTCGTCTTTTAACCATACATAGTTCCTTAAGGAACTTAGCATATTGAGGCATGTTTTTTAGAGCAGTAAGAAAAGGAATATTAAAAGTTAAGTTTTTAAAGATTTCCTTCATCTTATTAAATTATTCCTCCTTTTGACCTAATAACCTATGTGGACAGGGTGCCTTAGATATATACTTACATAAGCCCTCGCCTTTTTCTTTGTTTTTATCTTTATTTTTACTTGATGATGTTACATCTGTATCTGTTTGAGTTGTAGAATTATCTTTAGTTAATTCACTAGCCTCATCGACATCAAAAGGTTGTTTTCAAGAACTAGAAACCGGTGGAATGATGACATTAGTTGTTTGAGTTTTAGATTTATTAGTTTGAACAAAGTCATCTTCGGAAGCATTACTACTTTATTATTATATTTTTTTTCCTGATAGTGAAGTAGTTATGCCTTTTACTTCCTCATTTTGGGTTTTAGGATTTTCAGTTAAGACATCAAAGGTTTTTGGTTTGGCCTGGGGTTAGCTATTTAACCCTCAAATTTTTCTTTTTCTAATTCGCCGTCTACCCAAGCAAGTTTTTATTCAAGCTTTCAATGATTTTATTATGTGTAGGTTGTTTCTCTAAATTTTTCATTAAAAGATCTTCATAATTATTTTTAGGTTGGTTCTGAACCGGAAGGAAATTAGGGTTTGTCATTTGACTCCCATAACTCTGAAAATTATTGTTTTGCGGCATAAATCAAGGTTGCTTTGCGTTTCTAGGGTTTCCCAGGTAGGTTATAAGAAATCAGACTATGACGTCAATATAAACTAGAAAAGGGTGAATAGTCTTTATAAAATTATAGCTAGGTCAAGAGATTATAAACATGCGGAACAACTACAACCAAAGCTAAAACATGTTGTTTAAAAGATGAAACAAGGTATACAAACAAACTCAACAAAAACCCCTTACAGCTACAGAAAAACAAAGAAGGAAAATGACGAAGTCTGTCAAGGTCCAATAGATTGGAGTCCAATCGACTGAGGTCTAGTCGACTCCAGCTTGATAGACAAACATGTTATGCAAAGAACTATAAGAAAATTGGGTAGCTACTGATGCTACTATTGAGAGATGGTGATATGATATGGAATTGATGATTTACAACAAAAAGGTGAAGTCTTTGTGAGATAAACCCAACCCAACAAACACACATACAACAAGCACATGATATAAGGATGTGAGATAAGTGGTATTGGTGTCAAGCATACAAATATAGAGATGTAGATAGAGATAAGAAGATTATGATGTTGTTGTAGAGAATGATAGCATCAATTGAACACCGTGAACAAAACCCCACTACACATATACACTTTCTAACAAAGATATGTGAAGAACATATTTGTGTATAGTTGTGTTCTAGTTATCTTGATATGCTTTTAATTAAAGAAAATTAGAGAACTAAGAAACAAACCAAGCAAGAGACACAAGGGTTTATAGTGGTTTAGCAACGGTGTCTAGCTACATTCACTCTTCAAGGGCACTCCATTTTCCTAGATTCCATTGATGCTTGAACTAATTTTACATCACTACTATAACTCCTCACACCCAACCTCCTTGTTGAGAAACCTATCTCTTATATTTCAACATTGATACTTCAATTATATTTGATGCAACTTAGTCTATCTAGGATTTCACTCTCACACCTTCTCAAAGATGTTTCACACTCAAAGGTAACACCTTTAGTGATTTTTGCTTCCTCTTCACTCACCTCACATAATGGGTTGATAGAAAGTGAAATAAAATGTTGATTCACTTTACAAATCACTCCCTCAAAAATGGGTTTAGAAGAACTGAATGTAGGAACCAATTTGGGATGGATTTGAATCTTCAAGGCTTTGTTATTTTTTTCTACACTTCAAGTTCTTTCAAAAATCACCATAGATCAAATGAGCCTTCTTGTTGTTTTTATAAGCCAGAAAAAATCTATCCGTTGGTTAAAGTAGTTTGACAAGATCTAGAACTGTCCTTGGTCAAATACCTGAAAACTGCGTTATTCAGTCGACTAGGGTTTAGTCGATTGAAGTCTTCAGCTAAAACTTGTACAAAATTCCTGAAAACTATGTTGTTCAATCCACTGAGGTTCTATCGACTCATTTGGACCTTGTGCAAATTTCTATCGTGGTTTTTTTGACATATTATAGGCTCCAAATGGACTTTGGTTTTAGGGTATGTGACCAATTCTACATCAACACTGGAAAATGATGTTGAGGACGTCCGTTGATGTCACTTTGAGTCCGTTAACTTGTTTTGACTTAAGTTAACCCGAGTTGACTTGAGGTTTAACACAACACATAGAGTTTACACATAAACCTTTACAATACAAGGACTTGTCGTAATTCACAACACTATAAATATAGCTTTTATAGGCTCTAGTGTTTTGAGTATGAGGTTTACTTGTGTTCCCCCATCTAAAACAAGGATGATTAACCCATGATAGATTATAAGATTTACATTGAGGTAGAGCATGACTTCTACTTTCCCAAATACCGTTAACTTATTCTTGTTCATAAATAAGGAACCAAAGGACACTTGTTTTCTTAATGATCGATTCTTGAATAAACTTAACAAATCTCGTTTACGTTCATTACAAAATTTGGGTAGTTACAATATAAGGAAGGAGCTTCACTTTCTTAGTTAAGTCTTTTATTAAAGATTTTACTTTTCCATTAGTTTCAACCATGGCTGAAGGTGTGACCTCATTGACACCCGGAATAGGATTAGGATTATTACCTCAGTGTTGAGAACTATCTACAATCATAATGAAGAAATAATTAGCTTGGGTCGCTGTTTTACTTAGGAAAGTACCATCGTTCATTGATTCAGTTATTGCACGAGTGGTGGGGTTAAGAACATTATAGAAAAACTGAGCTAGGGTTTCTAGAGGAATTTGATGATGAGAGCATTGAATTTGTAATTATTCAAACCTTTCCCAAGTTTTGTATAATTCCTCAGTATATTTCTGCCTAAAGGTTTGGATCTTATTCCTAAGATCTATGGCTCAGTTCATGGGAAAGAATTTGGTAAGGATTTTAGAATACATTTGATCCCATATATGAATAGAGTTACCAGCTAAAGAGTGTAACCATTGAGACGTTTTATCATGAAGAGAGAACGTGAATAACCTTAAACCTATGTAGTCTATGCCTAACTTAGTTTCATTTAAGGTTAAACATATACAAACAAACTGTTGTAAGTGAGTGTAAGGGTCTTCACGTTCTTGACCAATAAATTTTGGCAACATGATAATGTTACCAAAATGAAGTTTAAAATCAGCTCCAGCTTCAATTGGGGGACAATACATTGAAATTTGGAGGTCTAGTTGCTAAAGGTATGAATAGATCGTGCAAAGGTTTCTCAGGTAGAGCCACTGCAAGTAGTGAGCTATATTCAATACTATGGATGTCTAGGTCAAAAGAGCGAGTAGCTAGACCTATAGGACAATTGTCGAGAATAAACTCTACGGGACTACTATCTAAGGCAGTTCTACTAACGGTTAAGTAATTTTTAACGGTCGGAGTATAAGATTTACCAGAATGTAAAAGCACAATCTAATTAACTAATCACTAAAGATAACTAAGACGAGAATTAATCGTAGTTAAGTTGTACTAACTTACTAAGTATCGAGTATACTATATGGACACCCATAAAGCTTGAGACCTTTTATTGGGACGTTTTTAGGGGGATTTTTGCTATTATTATATTTCTTACATTAAACCTGTAACGCCCCGGGATTTCGTCCTCGCTCATCCCGGTGCGCTGAGCACCATACCGGTCCCTAATGTCAATATTGTCCCCCTTTAGTCACTGCGGGCTTCCAGCAGTAGAGGGTTTTGGATCAGGGTCCACCCATATGGGCTTTCCCCAAAAGGCCTTGACATTAGTTAGTGTATGGTTAAGCTCTAAATACTACAATCCATATCCATTCTTTAGCAATGTGGGACTAACATCCACTCATAGGTGTTACAATCCCACCACCTTAGAAATAGAGCCGTCCTCGGCTCTGCAGTACCCTTAGTACAGTCCCAAAATCTCCGACGTTCCCTACTAAGTGCCAAGTACCTGGCGCTCCCTAGGCCTTTCCAGCGTACTCTCACCTACAACAGGCGACCCGTCGTCGGCTCTGATACCATCTATAACGCCCCGGGATTTCGTCCTCAGCTCTGCGGTACACTCAGTACAGTCCCAAAATCTCCGACGTTCCCTGCTAAGTGCCAAGTACCTGGCGCTCCCTAGGCCTTTCCAGCGTACTCTCACCTACAACAGGCGACCCGTCATCGGCTCTGATACCATTTGTAACGCCCCGGGATTTCGTCCTCGCTCATCCCGGTGCGCCGAGCACCATACCGGTCCCTAATGTCAATATTGTCCCGCTTTAGTCACTGCGGGCTTCCAGCAGTAGAGGGTTTTGGATCAGGGTCCACCCAGATGGGCTTTCCCCAAAACGCCTTGACATTAGTAAGTGTATGGTTAAGCTCTAAATACCACAATCCATATCCATTCTTTTAGCAATGTGGGACTAACATCCACTCATGGATGTTACAATCCCACCACCTTAGAAATAGAGCCGTCCTCGGCTCTGCAGTACCCTCAGTACAGTCCCAAAA